AACTCAAAGCTGCTACCAAAGAAGATGAAACCCTTCAAACTCTAAAAGAGACAATCAAGCAAGGTTGGCCAAAACACCGATAATCAGTGCCAACATGCATCACACCCTACTGAAATGTAAGATATGAACTGAGTGAAGCCGAAGGACTCCTATTTAAAGACAACAGACTCATCATCCCACTATCCACGAGGAAAGATATGCTACAACTAATCCATGAAAGCCATCAAGGCATAGAAAAGTGCAAGAATAGAGCTAGATCAGTGATATACTGGCCAGGTATGAATAATGACATTACCGTTTGTGCCACCTTTAGAAGCCAGAACCAAAAGGAACCCATGATACCACATGAGATACCTGAGCTCCCCTGGCAGAAAGTAGCATTTGATCTATGCGAATACCAAGGTAAAACCTACCTCGTGATTGTAGATCATTTCTCAAAGTACATCGAAGTCAATCTGTTACCAAATAAAACTGCAAAAACTGTCATCACACACACAAAGTCAATTTTTGCACGTCATGGTATACCACAAGAACTCATATCAGACAACATTCAACAGAAGAGAGTTTAGAGGGTTTGCAGAAAACTGGGGATTCAAAGTCACCACATCTAGTCCCACATACCCACAATCCAATGGGCTTAGTGAAAAAGCTGTTGAGACTGTCAAGAGGACCCAAAAAAACCTCAGACCCCTATATTGGTCTCCTCGAGTACAGGAACACCCCTGTCACCGGTATGTCATATACACTATCACAACTACTAATGAATAGAGCAACCAGGTCCAAACTACCTCTATCAAAAGAATTGCTACAACACAAGCTAGCAACAGATGTTACAAAAGAATTGAAACGATGCCAACAGACACAAAAACACTATTATGAACAGAACTCTAGACCATTGTCGCCACTCACGGAGAATGAAGGTATAAGGCTACGTCAGAACAACACTTGGGTCCCAGCCCAAGTACTATATCCCGCAACAACACCTCGCTCCTATATAGTTGCAACACCTAATGGCCTAAAGTATCGACGCAACAGACGACATCTCTTGAAGACTGAGGCAACAGCCGATTTCACCACAACAGCCTTACCGATCACAGATGATGATAACCAGGCTAAAGCATAAACCACTGTTGACGAACCTGGAGCATCTTCACCCACTCCTCCACTTAAAAAGTCTACAAAAACCCGAACAATACCTACTAAATACAATGACTATGTAATGCCTTGATTACAAATATTAACACTTTATAGACTGTTAAAAAAATCTCTTATCTTCCTGGTATTCCATTGAGAGCCAAGTTATGTTTATAATTTTGTCCTATTGAAAGAAGGGGGATGTAATGATAGTTGCCCCTTATGGGACACCCCGAAGCTTGTAGGAGTTAGTTGTCAGTTCAATAAACAAGTTTACGCGACAGCTCTCGTGCTTTTGTATCACTTTACTACAATTAGTTTGTTGTTTTGGTTTTGTCTTTAGTGGTGAATAGATGATGGGGATGTCAATATGTCTGTTTATTGTGTTGTTGTCTTCGCTGTACCATGCCTCTTTGAATTCTCATGCGTGTTTTGTCTGTGCGCGTCCAAGAAGTTGTGTTTTTGTCCAGTCAAATGTTTTGTTTGTATCGTAGGTATGTTCTGCTGGTAGTGATTTTGGGTCGCGTCGTTTGATGGCATTCTTGTGCTCAGTGAGTCTTGTTTCAATTTTCTTGGATGTTTGTCCTATGTACTGTTTTGGGCAATCTTTACATGGTATCATGTAGACCGCGTTGGTTGTATCAAATGTCGTTGTTCGGTCTTTATGTTTAGTGAAGTATGATTTGAGTTTGTGTGTTGGTTTATGTGCGATGTTTATTTTGAATGGTCGGAGTAGTCTTCATGTCATTTCTGATGTTCCGTTTATACGTGGTAATGTCACTATTTTTACTGGTTCGTCTGTATCTTCGTTAGACTTTTCAGTTTGTGGTTTGTTGTGTATTTTGTTTAATACTTTGTTGATAAAGTTTCGTGGGTAATTGTTGTTTATGAATGTAGAGTATAAGTGGTTGCGTTCATTCTTTTTGGCTTCATCTATATTGCAGTGTGTTTTAATCCTGTTAAAGACAGTTCGAATGCAACTAATTTTGTGTTGTGTTGGATGATTGCTATTTAAGTTGAGTATTTGGTCTGTGTGTGTATTTTTGCGGAATACTTGTGTGTTTAATGTGCCGTCATGTGATCTGGTAAGTAGAATAACTAGGAAGGTAAGTTGTTTGTCCTGTTCTTTGTCCATGGTGAAGGTTATGTTCTGTGTGGTATTGTTTATTGTGTGTAGAATGTGTTCTGTTTTGTCTTTTCGACGATAGCAAAGATGTCGTCAATAAACCTTCTCCAATAGTCTGATGTGTGTGTTGTTGGTGACTGACTGCTTTTCAAGGTGTTGCATAACAGCTTCTGCAAGGAAGGTGGATAAAGGAGAACCCATTGGTGTTCCTGAAATTTTTCGGTAATATGAATTTTGGAAGGAGAATTCAGTGGAGAGGCAGAGCTCTAGCAGGTCGATGATATCGTCTTGGTCTAGTTCGGTTGTGATTTTCCATGAGTTGTTGTTAGTAAGTAGTTCGTTTGTGACTTGTTTGGCTATGTTTAGTGGTATGGATGTGAAAAGTGACACTACACGGTAAGATATCATGATTTCGTCTGGTTTTAGTTTTACATTTTTAATATTGGTGAGGAAAGTTGTGGCATTTTTGATAGTTTGATGTGATGATTTGACTAGTGGGTGCAGAATATTAGAAAGATATTTTGATAGTTCATACGTGGGAGATCCACGATCTATATATATGTAGTAATGTTGAAAAAAATCACGAAAACTACAGATTCATCACGACAAGCCTGTTTCATGATTTCTCACTCTTCAGGGAATTTAATGAATAAATACTTAATTAAAGTAAATGGTTTGAGCACGGGAGTATCGTTAGCGGTTTGTAAATGTAGATCGTCCAGGTTGGTATAGTCTTGGGAAGGATTGTTTTTGTTGTTGTTGACTGACGCTTCGACTTTTTCACAACCTTAGCTGTAGTCATCTTCAGAGTCATTTTTGACTTTGAAGATGACCACCCCTAAGGTTGTCAAAACGTCAGTCAACAACAACAAAAATAGTCCTTCTTAGGACTATACCAACCTGGACGATCTTCATTTACAAACATGTAAAATTACTTAAATGTTTAAAAAATATATACAAGATGACGGAAGTTAGTATATTAATTAAGGTGTATAGTTACAAATTACATAGGAGAGTTTTAGATCTTTGGCGACAAGAGGAAACAAGTTCGTTGCGTTTATTGAGAGATGATTTGGATGACTGGTAGAGGATGAAGATTTTTCTTTGATGCAAAGGTTGCATCTTTTACTAGTGCTGTTGTACGGTTTGTTGTGTGTGATGATGTTCCATAAAATGTCCTAGTCAATATTGCTGTCTTTAAAGGTCCAAATGTTCTTACTGAGTTCGGTCGAGTTTCGTAGTTCTTTGTGGCGGAAAGAGGCAGTGTGATTTCTATGTCTAGTTTTAAATTCGTTTTCTGTAAGTCTGATGTTCTCAGTATGTGTTTGTTATCATTGTTCATTATTTGTTCGATATTGTTCCTGCAGCTGTAGCTGAGTTTGATGGTGTTACGGTTGAATATTTTCGTGAGTTTATAGTCTATGCGGAAGTGTTTGTCGATTAATAAAAGGAATTTGTGGCCAATGTTCGTGTGGACGTTTTTGCTAAATAGAGGGTTGTACCAAAATATATTTTGTTGAAGTCTGTTTTTCCATTTTGTAGTAGCGTCCGATTCGAATTTTAGTGTGTATCGGTATCCGTTTTCGTCGAGTGCTTTTTGGTATGGTGCAGTTATTTGGTCAAATGATGCTTTGTCGGATGATAGGGATGATAGACGTTTGTTGATGGCGGCGGGTATGTTCTTCGTGGATGGTTGCTTTTGCTGTGGACGTATTGAAGAGATTTGTTGGGTTTTGTGTAAAGCCTAGGCCACACTATCGTCCATATCGACGAAAATTAGAACGAAAACTTCCGCAACGAAAATTTTGAACGAAAACTCGACGAAAATTTCGTTTTCGTTCATATTAGAAGGGTTGAACTTTTGACCTTTTTCATCAACGAAAACGCATACTATTGGCTAAAAATATCTTGATAATATCAGACTTTGTTCTCAAACATGGCGGAGTGGCAAGAGGTTTTTATAAATCTGATGCGAGAAACACCAATTTTGTATGATAAAAGTCACCCGGATTATAAGGACTCGAGGAATAAGAAAAGAAATCACTGGCAAGATGTTTTAGATGAATTTAATAAAATTACGGACTTGGCGTGGGATAGTGAGTATTATTGATAGTCCGCCGACAAACTTTTATATCAAATCATTCATTTCCATTACTTTTAAACATTTTAGCAGTAACTTGTTCTTAAGAGGAAGTAATCTTTTCTTTTAGAGATCGCCATTGTTTCTAATCCGTCAAAAATGCCGCTTGCTTATTGGCCAATAATGTTTTGGCTTTGCAAACATGCTTGAAATTTTTCGTCGTGTCTGGCATGCATTTCGTGCACGAATTTTCGTTTCGTTTTCGTTTTCGTCAATATAGACGATAGTGTGGCCCAGGCTTAAGGTCGATAGGAAGAATTGTTAAGATTTAAGGTGATGTCAAGGAAGTCGATGATTTTTTGTTTGCTTCGATAGTTTTGCGTAGCCCATTGTTGTTGAGGATGCGGCATATTTCCTTTTTGATATTCTCTTTTTCTCTTGGTGTGGTGTCTGAAATGGCGAGTCCGTCGTCTCGATAAAGACCTAGGTCTGTTGAGATGTGTTGTAGTTGAGAAAGGAGGTAGCTTCCTACGAGCTCGCATGTCTCAACACCGTCGAAGCTGCCCATTGTTACGGCGAATATAGATTTATATTTTTTTTGCCAGGGTTGTTGGTTGTGTTTGAGGAATGAATTCTTAGCGTGTATAATGATGTTTTTTCCGGTGTTTGTGATGTTGTCGTAGGTTGAGGCGATATCCAGTGCTTTGTTTAGTAGGTCTTGGTTAATGGATGGATAGAAGTCTACCATGTCGAAGGATATTAGGTGATGTTTTTTGGTGTTTGATGGATTTGAACAACAGGATCACACAGATGATGAATTTTTCCATTGGTTGAATGAGGTTGTTTTTATTATGTTGCGGTTGATTCTGTCAAGTATTTTCTTGGTAACTTTGCCAATTTCGGATTTTATTAGGTTGATAATTGGCAGGATCATTGATTCGTAAAGTTTGAATTATTGTCTTTGAGTGTTATGAATGCATTTTTTGTGGGCAGTGGCTTCTACTCTGTTAGATATACCCAGTTGTGATGTGATATTTTTGTCTTCGGTTTGGATGGCTTTTATTGTGTGGGCATTTGATTTCTTGTATGATTTTGTGATATTTTGTTCAAGGAGGTCGTAGTATGCTGGCTCGTCTAGTTTGTAGAAATTTGTTGTTTTGTCGGCAGCGATTAGTAGCTTCGTTTCGTGTTTCATGGTAGTGGTGTGGTCTTTCATTTTGTTAAGGAATGTGCTGTTCACGTCTTTAAATTTTATTGATTGTATCATTTTCGTCATGTCTTTCTCGAAATCTTTTAGGTCGTCAATCGGTGGAGGGTTTTTACTGCTCTTGAAGCCATAGGTATCTTTATAAGTGATGGTAGTATTCGGATTCAGGAGGAAGTAAGCTTTCCAGCGCATATTACGAAGGAAGGTCTCAGATTTTTCAATAAGTCGTTGTAAGTATTCATTCGGTGATGGTGAAAGAATGTTCTTGAAGCTGTAGTTGAAGTTGAATTTCTCCATTGCGGATTATCGTAGAGTGCTTGACAAAATTTTTTCTTGAAGCGTAATAGGAAGTTATAAACAAATAATCAACAATCATAACAAACATATACTGAGAGCATCAGACAAACTGACGACAACACCGCAAACAAAAAGACACATACAAAAACATGCAACTGCCGACAAAAGCAAAACTGCCCACTTAACGGAAACTGCCTACAATCATCCGTCGTCTATCAAGCTACTGTGAAACTCAAGGAAAATAACACAACTGAGACGTACATTGGACTTACAGAAAACGAATTTAAAACTAGACATAGAAATCACACTGCCTCTTTCCGCCACAAAAAACTACGAAACTCGACCGAACTCAGTATTCACATACGCTAACTTCCGTCATTTAACTTGTAACTATACACCTTAATTAATATACTAGCTTCCGTCATCTTGTATATATATTTTAAACATTTAAGTATTTATTCATTAAATCCCCTGAAGAGTGAGAAATCACGAAACAGGCTTGTCGGGATAAGTCTGTAGTTTTCGTGAGTTTTTTCAACATCACTACATATATTTACGCTCTGCTCTAGGGCATCGAGCACTGTTTTATACGGATAATCATCACTTATAAACTTCATATATATATATACATACGGCTTTGTGAGAAAAATGTGAACAAAAACTACATAGGTCGTATAATTGTGAAAGGAGTGTAGCAACAGCAAATGAAGCATTAATATCAGTAAAATATATTCGATAACTGACATTATTTTTAATCCACAACAACTATAGAACAGCGGAAATGTGCGTTTTTATTCAAGAATTTTAACACCAATTGTAAATTGATACCCAAGCACTTTTTTAAAATGCTTTTATTTGAAAGCTATATTTAGGCTTTGTATGTACAAATTCATACCTTTAAGTAAGCACCATGAAAGTTACCATCAACGACAATGTTTTCCTAAAGGCTGTTAGCCTAAAAATGAAAATTTCGTTTAGGGTGGAGGATATACATAACTCCCTCATGAATTCACAATAGTGAGTGAGACAATGAAAATAATAGCTACATAAAAAAGTTATGCAAATTCCAACATATTCAATTTTTAGATTAATTATAAAAATTAATAAAATTGTTTGCAATTATATTGACCACAGGTATTTCAATTATTCTTTCGTTTAAAGGGTTTGTCATCTTTCGAAATCTTGAGTACAAAAAAAAACTTATTCTACTTACCAAACAGGAAACACAAAAAATTCCCCTTATAATGCATCTTAAAATTCATATTCATAGCTTTGATAACTATGATCCTTTTATCAGTGAGCTAGGAAACATGATGTAAGTGTCAAGTATAATTATCAATGATGTTAGTTTTAGTGGCTGTTGTGGTCTAACATTGCAACTGGACTGCTTTATTTCAGAATTTGCAATTTACTTGTTTCTTTTGTACATTTTCTCAATCCAAAACTCCATTGTAATTATTTTCTAGATTGTACCAGAAGAGTGATTGTAAATCAAACAAGATTGTTTTCATAGTCTCTAACTTAGTGCTATATAGTAGGCATTTACCGTTTTCTGAGCTATTTCAGTAATTAAACTTTGCGCAAAGCTGGGAATCAAATATTGATGTAACTGTTTAACGCCAGTTAGTTAGCTTCACTGAACCACTTAAAGTTGTTCAGTTCGCTGGAAAGTAAACATTCACAAAGATTTATGTAGATTTCGATGTATTTGTTTATAGTTACTATTATATAGCAATAAGCAACATCAAATTGCCTGCAGAATTTAATAGTAAATTTAGGAATGTTCAATATGAGATTAGCCTTCGACCTGATTGTCTATTTCTAGCTATTACCAGTTTCATGATATATAAGTTAAATATCAAACAATGAATCAAAGTGATTGATTGTTTAAGATGAAAGATATTTTATGACACAAAGCTGAAATAAAGAGAAAAATTGCAATTTCTTCAATAAGCCTTATTGCAGGTTGCGATTGATTTGATTCGTGCTTCGTTTAAGTTGTAAAGGAATTTCAAGCTTTTTTTCTCTTTAATTTTAAATGTTGTTCAATGTGAAAAGTCTCGTGTACGGAAGCATGCAAAACACAAAAATAGCTTTAGTGTAAAAATGTGTTCATCTTAAAATGCATCTTAAGATTATTCATTTCATCCATTCAGAAATATTGTGTTAGGGATGAACATTTTTTTAAATTGTTCATATTAATCATGCAGAAAATGCATGTTAAATTTTCTGAACGCCTTGCATGTCTGATTCATATACCTATAATATAGATGTCGTGGCAATGTAGCTAACATTGAATAGAAACAGATAATTACAATCTACATTGAAGCTCGACTAAAATTCACTTACATTTTGCTCCAGATTACTTAATTTCCAATTAACTTATGTGCAATGGTCTTGTATACGTGATAAAAAAATGTTCAGTTTTAATCATTTTCTTGATTCTACAAGAGGAACTTGTGAAAATTACACAAATTCGTGTGTATGATCTCGAACAAAACTGAATGTCGTGATAAATTAGTGGGAGATAACATATATTAGTTAAGTTTTACTGAGATGGAATTTATGGAATGGCGGTGTATTACAATCTACTGTGCAATTTTCTTTAATTAAAGATCTTAATGCTCGGCTTTCACCTTTCATCTATTTTGGGTTTTATCTTCATTTTGTTTAAGACAATTATGCAAATTACAATAATTTGTTAGATAATAACAAGCTAAAAAATACATACCCATAAAACAATACAAGCTATACATATCCAGGTTGTGAGTCGCTTAAATAAAAGAAAATGACGCAGTCAGTGATAAAGTAATGCGTTTTGACAAATTATCGCATGTTTTAAAATAGAAAGGGGAAAATGAACCAGGTTACCAGCTACGCCAACTGAAATTTTAACATTCTTGAATTGTTCTCGCGCAATGGTTTCAGAATAGAAAATTTGTATATGTCGCTTGTAACGTAACAGGCTATTTTGGAAGATAGACATCTTGCGCCGAATTCATTTAGAAAAAGTAGCTATATTGATGCGTATTATTTTTGCTGGGGATTTGTGTAATGTTCTTCCATCTTACAAATTTAGAGTAGACTTGATTATTCTTTGATTAAGAATTGATTAAGACTTTCAAATCATGTAGAGCTTTCTCATAACGTCGTTGGGATCTTTGATAGCGTATGCATAGTTTGTGTAAATCAGAGTCGGTGTTTCCGAGTTTAGACCAAAAACCATGACCAGCCGACAATTTAAAGCCGACAATTCATTGCTTACTTCCGTTTGCTTATTTCAGTTCATTTTTAGTTTACAGTTCCCTTCTCATCTTGTTTTGATGCATATTTTGCAATGTCAAGATGTCTTGTTTTTTTCGGATTTTGCTTTATATTGTTTTTCTTTAAATTGTCGGCTGGTCATAGTTTTTTTTACAATTCAAAATACTTTATAAACGATCATATTGCTAAGATTTTGCCTTCAAAATATTCTTTAGAATTTTTTAACCAGCAGATTTAATGTAATGGTATTTTGAATTCCAAATGAGGTGCAATAATGTGTTGTGAGTTAGCCTAGATCCGCCACTGCTCCTATTTACCAGCCCCAGAAATGGTAGTATAACTATGTATATCAAATTTAAATAGAAAAGATTGTGTTTACACATTTTCGTTAAAGCTCATAATTTTCAAACAGTTGTTTATAGTCTGAATGTGTTGTTACAATGAGTCTATGAATTTCATGAATGCAGATGCACTTTTCAGGCAAAAAAAGCACAAAACCGATTTACTTTTGCTATTTATTGGCCGACGCTTGCGGAGATCAATAAAAAACTGAATATGGCAAAAAGAATATAACAATACGATGGTTATTAAAAACAGATCAAACATTATTCTATACTAATAAAAGAACACACATGAACTCGTCAAATGGTCTCAAGCAGTCCCTCAAACGACAAACGAAACAGCACCTTCGTCCCTTCGAGATCGTAAAAGTCCATAGTTATATTCCCATTTTTTATCCAATTCAAAACTGCTTTCTAAAACATTATAAAACCTCCATTAAAATCGAAAATTCAGATTAATAAAAACATTTCAAAGCTCTTATTTAGCCAGCAAAATACTTAGCAAGTGACAAGTTATGACAAATTGAATTAATTCACCAAACTTTGTGAAATTAACACTCAAGAGTATAAAGAGTAGAAATATATTTATTGCGTGCGAGAAATATAAGAGAAATTGTTTTGAGTCATACGGCCCGTAGCGAATACAGCAAGACATAATTTTCAAGCTATGTGATAGATAGTTTCCTTGGTAATATATGCAAATCAGTTGGAGAAAAAGACTTCTTGTGTAGAGTCCCTTTAACGCAATTAATTTTCGTGAACAAAAGTTATGGCCACAAATCCAGCATCTTCATCATCTCGTAAATAGTTTAACATTACCAAAGTAAAGAAAACATGTTTATTATATAAGATTATTATATGCATGCTGCACACTAGGAACTTTTCATTATAACTAAACCTTCACAAAGATTTATGTAGATTTCGATGTATTTGTTTATAGTTACTGTTATATAGCAATAAGCAACATCAAACTGCCTCTAGACTTTAATAGTAAATTTAGGAATGGTCAATATGCGATTAGCTTTCGACCTGATTGTCTATTTGTAGCTAATGCCATTTTCTTGATATATAAGTTCATATAAGTTATGTGAAATTCTCGTGTGCGGAAGCATGCAAAACACAAAAAGTTTGCATCTTAAAATGCATCTTAAGAATATTCTTTACATAAATTCCGAAATATTATGTTAAGGATTAACATTTTTTGAATTGTACATACTAATCGTGCAGAAAATGCATGTTAAATTTTCTGAACGCCTTGCATGTCTCATTCATATACCTATAATGTATATGTTGTGGCAATGTAGCTAACATTGAATAGAAACAGATAATTATAATCTACATTGCAGCTCAACTGGAATTCACTTACATTTTGCTCCAGATTACTTAACTTCCAATTAACTTATGTGCAATGGTCTTGTTTACGTTATAAAAAAAATGTGTGTATGATCTCAAACAAAACTCAATGTCGTGATAAATTAGTGGGAGACAACATATATTAGTCAAGTTTTACTGAGATGGAATTTATGGAATGGCGGTGCATTACAATCTACTGTGCAATTTTCTTTAATTCAAGATCTTAATGCTCGGCTTTCACCTTTCATCTATTTCTGGGTTTTTATCTTCATTTTGTTTAAGACAATTATGCAATTTACAATAATTTGTTAGATAATAACAAGCTAAAACCATACATATTCCATAAAACAATACAAGCTATACATTTCCAGGTTGTGCGTCGTCTTAAATGACAGAAAATGGTGCAGTCAGCGGTAAAATAATGTGTTTTGACAAATTCTCGCATGTCTTCAAATAGAAAGGGGGAAATCAATCAAGTTACAAGTTACGCCAATTGAAATTTTAACATTCTTGAATTGTTCTCGCGCAATGGTTTCAGAATAGAAAATTTGTATATGTCGCTTGTAACGTAACAGGCTATTTTGGAAGATAGACATCTTGCGCCGAAATCATTTAGAAAAAGTAGCTATATTGATGCGTATTATTTTTGCTGGGGATTTGTGTGATATTCTTCCATCTTACAAATTTAGGTTAGACTTGATTATTCTTACTAATTGATTAAGAATTTCAAATCATGTAGAGCTTTCTCATAATGTCGTCGTGATCTTTGCTAGCGTATGCATTGTTTGTGTAAATCAGAGTCGGTGTTTCCGAGTTTAGACCAAAAACCATGAGCAGCCGACAATTTAGAGCCGACAATTTATTGCTTACTTCCGTTTACTTATTTCATGCGTTGTAAATATATATGTGTATGTATGGTTTTGAATATCATTCTGTCTGAAGATGACTTTGAAATAAAGTCGAAAATTTACAGTTCACTTCTCGTCTTATTTTGATTCATATTTTGCAATCTCAAGATGTCTTATGTTTTCGGAATTGGCTTTTTATTTTTTTCTTTAAATTGTCGTCTGGTCATGGTTTTTTTTACAATTCAAAATACTTTATAAACGATCAGATTGAAAAGATTATGCCTTTAACATATTCTTTAGAATTTTTTACCCAGCTGTTTTAATATAATGGTATTTTGGATTCAAAATGAGGTGCAATAATGTGTTCTGACTTACCCTAGATCCGCCACTGCTCCTATTTACCAGCCCCAGAAATGGTAGTATAACTGTATGTATATAAATTTAAATAGAAAAGATTGTGTTTACACATTTTCGTTAAAGCTCATAATTTTCAAACAGTTGTTTATAGTCTGAATGTGTTGTTACAATGAGTCTATGAATTTCATGAATGCAGATGCACTTTTCAGGCAAAAAAAGCACAAAACCGATTTACTTTTGCTATTTATTGGCCGACGCTTGCGGAGATCAATAAAAAACTGAATATGGCAAAAGAATATAACAATACGATGGTTATTAAAACAGATCAAACATTATTCTATACTAATAAAAGAACACACATGAACTCGTCAAATGGTCTCAAGCAGTCCCTCAAACGACAAACGAAACAGCACCTTCGTCCCTTCGAGATCGTAAAGTCCATAGTTATATTCCCATTTTTATCCAATTCAAAACTGCTTTCTAAAACATTATAAAACCTCCATTAAAATCGAAAATTCAGATTAATAAAAACATTTCAAAGCTCTTATTTAGCCAGCAAAATACTTAGCAAGTGACAAGTTATGACAAATTGAATTAATTCACCAAACTTTGTGAAATTACCACTCAAGAGTATAAAGAGTAGAGAAATATATTTATTGCGTGCGAGAAATATAAGATTGTTTTGAGTCATACGGCCCGTAGCGAATACAGCAAGACATAATTTTCAAGCTATGTGATAGATAGTTTCCTTGGTAATATATGCAAATCAGTTGGAGAAAAGACTTCTTGTGTAGAGTCCCTTTAACGCAATTCATTTTCGTGAGCAAAAGTTATGGCCACAAATCCAGCATCTTCATCATCTCGTAAATAGTTTAACATTACCAAAGTAAAGAAAACATGTTTATTATATAAGATTATTATATGCATGCTGCACACTAGGAATTTTCATTATAACTAAACCTTCACAAAGATTTATGTAGATTTCGATGTATTTGTTTATATTTACTGTTATATAGCAATAAGAAACATCAAACTGCCTCTAGACTTTAATAGTAAATTTAGGAATGGTCAATATGCGATTAGCTTTCGACCTGATTGTCTATTTGTAGCTAATGCCATTTTCTTGATATATAAGTTCATATAAGTTATGTGAAATTCTCGTGTGCGGAAGCATGCAAAACACAAAAAGTTTGCATCTTAAAATGCATCTTAAGAATATTCTTTACATAAATTCCGAAATATTATGTTAAGGATTAACATTTTTTGAATTGTACATACTAATCGTGCAGAAAATGCATGTTAAATTTTCTGAACGCCTTGCATGTCTCATTCATATACCTATAATGTATATGTTGTGGCAATGTAGCTAACATTGAATAGAAACAGATAATTATAATCTACATTGCAGCTCAACTGGAATTCACTTACATTTTGCTCCAGATTACTTAACTTCCAATTAACTTATGTGCAATGGTCTTGTATACGTTATAAAAAAAATGTGTGTATGATCTCAAATTCGTGATAAATTAGTGGGAGATGATCGTGACTAAAACACTACACGAGTACATACGAGTACATACGAGTGACATACGAGTACATACAAGTACATACGACTGACATACACAACCCAGTCTCTTCCTTAAATTAACTCTATACGCTAATTGTGAAAATACCCTCAAATTGACTGTATAAGTAATTTGCAACGTCCATTCAAACAACAGGCCTGGTGACATGAGTGGCTCCTTTGCCAGTTCTTTGCCTAATGCTAGATGTTCGTGGTAGAAATAAAACTATTAAGAAGAAAAATGCCAGAAGAGATATAGTTCTTCAAAGAAGTGAAGTTGGCGAACGGATTATTCATAAGCCAAGCAAAGCACTTCGAGAAATAGAAATACACAAAGAGGTGTGTGCTCGGAAATAATACTTTTATCAAAGAAATAGCAGCATTTTAGATTTTTGTGTAACTTGTATGTTACGTTTTTATGTTACTTGTTGTTATTACTATCATAGGTGAGGAAATGCCTACAACATCTTCAGATTTACATGATGTTCCACAGGAATGATATGTGATGACAGTGTTACTGAAAGAGGTTGTTGATAATACTTCTTACATCTCAACTTTACATAACAGAAGCAAAAATTTTGTGCTGTCCAGGCCACTGCATCTATACATAGTTTTTTATATTTTTATACACATGTGACTGTGCTTTTAAGACTTCAATGTACTCTTGTATCATATTTTAGAAAAGAAAATAGAAAAGGAAACAGCTTTATGTCATAAAATCATTTCATTTTCATTTTAGATCTTGAAGCTATTCTTGAAAGCTCTCCGTTGGTTATTGGAGAAGTGAATACTGGGCCATCTGCCTGGCAAAAAAAATGGAAAATCGAGAAGAAAAATGGGAAATTATGAGGGAAAAATTATTTAATGTCACTGTGTAATCATTTGCTCCTCCTTTATCTTCTATAAAGTGTTGGAGATGCAATAAAAATGAAGCTGTACTAAGATGCAGACAATGTGGTGTGTTGAGATATATTTGTAGAGAATACGATAATGATGTCCATGAGAACAATCCTCTCCATGATCGAGAAGTGTGGTTGGATGGTTATTTTCAATATATCAAGCCTACACAATCCATTTCATCTGATGGAAAGATTTGCAGCATTGGTAAGTATAATGTAGATACTATTGAATTTTGTATAAATATTTGTTGTTTTTTTTGTTGTGCCCTATGTGAGAGAAATGTTTTTCTGTGATGATGCTGTTATCTTTGTAGATTGATCATGTCCCATCCTTTACCCATCATCATGTCAGTTGTGTAATGAATCCATTATGAAAATTACCAACAATTCTCTTATGATTATGATCACATGTGAAGGTGAAAATGTCCTTATACAATTTATTTACTGAGTCCAAATAACATTTTTTGTTATATGGATGTACATATGATGCATCATATTAAAATCTGATTTGTTAGGGGCTGATTATTGAGAAAAATACATAGGCAGCAGGTTGGATTGTACACTAATTCAGAAACTTTAAATTGAAACTAAAAACTTCAAATCATCAATGAAGTTGCTGGCTTCTTATGAAACCCCAGGATTTGATTTCTTCGAAGCACATATTTTCAGCACTGTACTGGTTATCTTTGATTATATTTTTTTTCAACAGGACGATTTGGTCTTAATCGGTTCACTGTACATCGCTCATCTTTTCAATGGAAGTAGTCACCAATTTCTGTTGACAGTATAATTGAGAGTGGCTGGTGGCCTGGTAGCCCTGAAAATGTTCATTACATATTTAGTCAGATGTCTTTAATTTGTGGGATGCATTTAGAAAGAGGATGCCTGGGTCATCACAATCTGCTTTTGTAAGAAGTTTGGAAGATATTTGCAGCTCTAGAGGAAGGGTGATTAATTTTTATGCTATCTACATGTCTTTGTTAGTGTGCTTTTTATTTTGTATATATTTTTTCCCTCACAAACCAAAAGCTACAAGACGTAAATCTTGGTTTCAAAATAATCCTTTATGATCATTTCTTTCTGTGAATTTTAGTAAATTCTGGAAATTCAAGGAAAATTTGTTTAAAATTTGTAACAAGCACATGTCAATTTTTGTATGCTTCGTCTAATGTGTATGTTAAAAGTATGAGAATATATTATAGTACAGTTGGGTTTTGCATAATCAACAAATAGTATATAATTGTGCTATGTTTTGATGTGAAATGTTATCAATCCAGTCACATTCAGAAAATTGTTTGCTGAATGGAGCTATTGCTAACATGAAATTGACCTTCTTCATGAGCAGACATGGAAAAATTGTCCTCCTTGTAGTATTGATCAACATTCATGTCATGTTGATGGAAATCAAAAAGTGTACAGATTCAGCAAAGTACCAAGGTTTGTGATATTGGATGGCAAATTCTCAAACTTGCAAAAATGGAATTACCCTTTGTAAATGATTCAGATATTTTTATGTTTTAATAATTTGAACCAATTTCAACAAATCCAAGAAAAAGACCTACTGCTCATGTTTGATTCTTTACCTGCATTGTTAAGTTTATGAGGGCTTGTGTTCTAAATTGATAACTTACTTTTACCACAGGGTCCAGTCCAGTGTTATTATCGTGATGTATTGATTGCAAACAATAGTTTTGTGGACTCTCATTTAAAAGTCTTGGTTCAAAGTCAATTCAGGTAATGTGTTATGAAGTAGGATTGAAAGGTAGTAATCTATTATTAGGTTAAAGCATTTTTCGACGTGTTCTACATGTTCTACGCAGGGTTCTACGTGTTACATAGGAAGAAAATCAAAATGCGCTAAGAAATATTGCACCAGCACTGTCTATAATGCATGGGAAATCACACAGTTGGTCATGTCAGGTACGTTACATACGTAGGTTATGATTGTTTACCCAACAACTCGTAAACTAAATACCGCATACGCCGACGATAATGCTCTATTAAAGATGTTATGAGACGAAGCGTGCTTTGTCAAACTGTAATAATACTGTATTTCACGTAACTAAACCGTTGTTACGTAAATCTGAAATGGGTTGTCTTGAATGGATGATTTTTTTCACACTTTTTAGGTTATTTGGAGCGGAAGATTGCATTGTGGTGCGGCAGCAACTTCTGGCGAAGAAGTTGAGCAAATAAATTCGTATTTGTCAAGACTTGGCTCGACTACTAAAAATATGACGACTTCCGGTGAGTATTATTTTCTTATCTGCGTATCCACTCAGGTTTTTTGATCGATTAAGTCCACGAACTAATGTGCACATTAATGGTTGTACGTATTAAGGACGAGAAGAATGCATTACTGAACACCTTCTGAGTTGGAACAAGCGAAAAATTTTAAACTTGGCAAACTCCCTTGTTATTCGAATGAAAAAGGTTACACGTTGTATATGTCTTCAGTTAATTGTCAAAATTATACTAGTGTGAGTCCATGATTCTAATGTGTGCTACGTACGTGTATAATATGAAATGAATTTACAGTTCATAGTTGTGTATAGGTGTTGTTTGAACCCAATATGTTTACTGCGCTAATATATTTCTTTTTCACTGTTTTTCATAATGTGTCCTTTCACTGTTTTTCATAATGTGTCCTTTCATTGTTTTTTATAATTGTCCTTTCACTGTTTTTCATAATGTGTCCCCTGTTTGCATCGGACGGCTCAAAAATTGACTATGTTGAAGACTCCAAGTACCTTGGCGGTTATTCAGATACTGAGCATGATATGTCTGTCAGAATAGCGTTGGCATGGAGTGCGCTGCATTCTCTTCCGGCAGTTTGGAAGTCTCCAATCAAGAAGTCAACAAAGACTAAAGTGTTCAAGGCTTGCATTGAAATCATACTTCTCTACGGGTCAGATTCATGGACGCTAAATGTGAAACGTAAAAAGCGTCTCGACGGCACATACACAAGAATGCTTAGACACGCCTATGACATCTCTTGGAAAAGCCATCCTACCATGCAACAAATCTCTGTACGGTACGCTTCCTCGTGTGTCTGAAACGGTTCGTCAGCCGCGTTTGACTCTTGCGGGCAATGTTAGTCGTCATGAAGAGCCCGCTGGTAGGCTTCTGCTATGGACACCCTCAGCAAAAAGAAGAATTGGGCGCCCGTTTGTCACCCTCAAGAACATCATTGAGGAAGAAACAGGCTTGTCTGGACAAGACCTGTCGACTGCAATAGCAGATCGCCATCGCTGGCACTTGGAATACGTTCATGTTTTACCTGAGCCATCTGGCATTGGATGACGCAAGGCAAGGCAAGGCAATTTCGAAGACCGAAAGGCAACTTTCATCTGCCAGAGACGATTATGTAAAGTTAAGAAGCGAACTTAATGTCCAGGATTCAGACTTGGACGACTCGATAATGCAGTGGAAAGAAGAAGTTCAACAATTTGCGAGAGGTAACATTGTTTACTTTCAAATATTTTTTAGAAACATGGTTTAGTATTTTACAGTTCTGTACTAATGGTTGATTTTTGTTCAAACATCATTTAAAACGAAACTATATTAAATAATTCTTGGCCTGGCTCAGGAGTGCTTAGTAATTACGTAGATAAATTAATATTTTTATTGTTTGTCTAGAACAACAAATTGGAGTTTCTTCGTTGAAAAGTGCCGCCGAAGATTTCTTCCTTTTGCATCAAACTGTTGATAATGCTCAACATTTGGAGAATTTTGTAAAAGCCAACGATGATCAAACGCGGACATTTTTGGGTGATAGGTGTTTCGTTCATGACGCTCAAAACAAAGTGAAACAACTTGAACAAAATGCAACAAGATTGCTGGAATTGAAAAGACAGCTTTTAGATGGACATGTGACAGAGGAGCAGCTTCTTGAGCAAGGAAAGTCGCAGCTGGCAAAAATCACAGTAGCAAAGCTGCAGAAGAGATTAGAAATGTTGTATTTTTCAGTCACTAGACGCACAAAAGAAATAACTTCTATTGCTGGTGAGTTTTGTTGGAGGTTTTTTTATGAGTAACTGTAAGCATTATTTTAAAGTTCGTAGCAAAATCAAAGTGAGTTAGATTTTAGATGTAGGCGACACAAAATGCAAAATATGGAACAGTTTTATTCGAGATAAATCGTGCTTTATCTAAAAGTTAACGGATAAATACTATCTACGCCATCCTGGAAGAAATATGTCGACTTATATTTCAAAACATTTTTCCAAATTACTGAAAAATTACGACACGCACGTTCTGTAGATTCTAGCAAACGAAGATCTTCCATGAGAAGGAAATGCCCTGAAGAGAAGTCCAAAATAACATCCACCGTAGAAGAGTTAAATTGCCTCTCAAGTCTGTGTGCTCTTCCTACAACAAGTGCGGAAGAAATCATGTCTGGAGATTTTGTTTAGTCGTTTAACCAGTGTGACATAGATAGTACGACTTCACATGGTGTGTAAAACAATAGCAATTACAGTTCTATGTATATTGTGACGTCCATGCTCTTTTTAGTTTCAACTATTTTACTTTACAATATTTAGATATACCTGTGCGTTTCAAGGCACAAATTGTCGATAAGTACATGGTAGTTAAAAGATTGGAAGAGGAAAAGCACTTCTGAACATGGAGATGAGAAATTATATGATTTATTATTTGGAAAACGTTTTGCCTCTCCTTTGTGAAGGAAAAGAGAAGACTAAAGATAGGATAGGTATACAGATAAATGTTCGTATTATGTTAAAACAAGCTTAAAGATTACGTATTTATATACAGTGGAATGTAATGTACATGCGTTTAACATATTTTGCAATTATTTTTTTAGTATTTACAAATAATGTTGATGAATCTAATGACTATTCTTTCCTTGAAACAGAGGTCAGATAAGTAGAGAAAATGACACCAATCTTTTAAAATACGAACATACTTATTGACATGATTATGTTTGTTTTATAGAGCTTTCTTCTAGATGAATATAAACATCGCTATTGTGTGCGAAAAGACACAATGAAGACTCTGCATGGTCGTCTCGCCATCACAAACAGCGGAATTGCATTTGCTAGAGTGCAGTTGAAAAAGATTTTCAATACTTTCACGACTTAGAACAGTCCATAGTCAAAGTATACGGTAGTGACAGTGAATTAGACTGTAGTGATGAAGATGACGTTCATGAAGATGTTGAAGAAGAAGATGCATATAATTCGTAGTGTTTTGTTGCTGAAAGCTGTGCTATCATATTTTTGTGTGCAATTTTTATGAATAGAAAATTATTTGCATGTTGCTCTTTTTGTAAATAAAATGTATGCACATACACTTGCAAGTATATACATCTAAGAAGATACACGCATTTGTAGTTGTCCACTGCAAACGGCCTATTTTGCGACAATCTATGATCTTCTACAAATTGTCCTTTTTCGCAACACAAATTGTCTTTTTTTGGATATTTAGGTCTCTGATTCCTCTAAGATAGATATATTGATTTAACAGTCGCTCATTCTCACTAAGTAACCAAAAATGCTATGAATGGCTCCCAGCCACTAGCTGGTATACTGGTTCAATTCCAGTACATAGCTCTCGACAAAGTGGTTACTACGTACATATCTATATCTCAGACACCCTGGATGTAATGAAGCCATTCACCTTTTGCAGCTGTTATAAGTTGTTTGTTAACAAAAGTGATTGAAAACATGTTTCATCAAGATTGTAGAAATTTCTGTTTTAAATTTGGTTAATAAATTGTGCAATTGGTACTTAGCTCTATGAAAGTAGACTTTACTGATTTTTCTAAGATGAATGGCAAGCAATACGTCACCAATTGCTTTATAGAACGTCAAGGTATGATGCGGGAATGCCGTATGCAGAAAAAGTCGTTTGATGTATGTTATAAACAGTATATTAAACACAATATTTTTACTATACATTATAATAATACTTTTATCTTTCCATTGTTTCTTCTTTTGTGTTACACTCCGTCTATATAGTGTAAATAGTGTATATAGCCTATATAGCGTAAATAATGTGTATAGCCTAAACAGTGTATATAGTGTAAATGAAAGCTTCAAAACTGCAAAATGTTATAGCAGTGAAAAATCTGCTGGTAAAAGTCCTTCAAAACAGGCCTTGCGCACGAAAAATTTTCATTGAAAAGACAATTTAATTATCCTGAGTCAAAATATGGAGGAGGTTGTGCAAGCTATCGCAATTGCAAGCAATTTGAGGGCAAGCGCTGGCCAACGCAAGATCTTTAAAACACTTGACGTTTTTTTGCTTTCTCGCACTTTACTTACCTTTGGAATTGGCTTCTTAATCTCATATTGTACTTTATTCAATTTGCAAATAAATCATTATCAGCTGTACCAGAGAACGTTAAAATACACATGCGCGTCTTATTTTAGAAAATTTTTTCCAAGAGTCTACTTTTTTGATACACCTAGAATATAGTTCGTTGGTTGTTGGCGTCTTAGTGTGTTTTTTTGACGCAACAGTTGACGCTTTTTTTCTGAATTTATTATGCATCTCCATAGAAAAACTTTTAAATCATCTTACTTTTGGGATTAATAGGTGAACAACACTTGAATAAAATCGTGTACGTGTATTACATGAATATTTTAGATAATAAATGAGCTCTAGTTGTTCTAAGACATATCGCAAATTTTATTTTCTAATCTATTTATTTTGGAATATTTTTAATGCAATTATGAAAGAATGAGTGTATGATCTATGAAGTAGAACATATATTTAGCATTTAATCTATTGTTGTATTTTCTTATGCTCTGTCACTTAGGCTGCGACTACAGATATTTTTCATACGTCAATTTTACGTGAGAAAGTGCATCTCATTTCATTTGGTTATAAACTATATATCTATGTTGCAACTAGCATTCAAGTTATTGTTTTTGAAATTTAACGTAAATTGTAACAGTGAAATCTGCACAACAATATCATCAGGCATTAAATATTTCACTATTGGCTGATTTCTAAAGGACATGACATAAGCATCCGCATAAACGTAAACTTAAAATATTTAACTCAAAGAAGAACAAATGAAGAATTGAATAAAAATTCCACGATGTCTTTGTTTTGTAAACATTTTAGTAAGAGAAACTAAAGTCTTTCGCTCATGTTCATTCCACTGTTGTAAAACATGCATAAACGTTTTAGCACGCTGCCTTACCCTACATTTTATTCCATCAAAATCGCCATTTTCCATTCATTGATATACCGTGTGAAAACTTTAAGAAATAACTTACAAGAAATTCCTCTGCAGTACAAAAGTGTGAAGTTCAAAGTAGTTATAAATGTCTTATTTCACGACTCGGAAATTTTTATTTGGACTTCTACGTGATATGACGCGCATAATATAAAATCTGTTCTTTTATAATACAATATTAAAAAAAATATTTCCACTTTAAGATCAGGCACAAAAATAGAAAATTTACTATAATATACATATACAAGGAAGTTTCTTTACGAAAACAATAAAATCCATAAAGGAAAAAAAATGCGGAAGATTTACGTAGTTATATATTGTGAGTAAAATCATCTGGTCCAGCAACAAACATTCTGTCAACTGGCCAAATGTAAGACTCGCCAGGTCTTACGACATCTTCGTCGAATGGACCAGGAAATGGTGGAGCAACTGTTTTCCCGGTACCACACTAGTAAAAAAGACAGATAGGTAGCCGGGATTCACGGGCCGATTATGCACCTTCGACATTCCTGAGACACATCCAAAACCACACACTACACCATTCTCGTTGGCCAATGCTACAACAGTTCCTAAGTGTACATGAAACAATTTAAATTCAAGACATAGCCATTTGCTTCGTTGATCACTATTTATGACAGAAGAAATATTGCTACGCATCATCGGCATGTACGTAGCTGCCAAAGAACCAAATCAAGTTTTAACATTTTAAAGCTGAAAGTAGTCATGTGTTTGGACATGTCTATTGTTGTAAATGTGTTCAATGTTGATGACAAAATTAATCAACAAAAGATCGAACTTGTTTTGCGACAACCTGAAACTTCTAAGAAACTAAAAATCAACCATTCTAATGCTAACACCTATGTACACTATTCCTGACCTTTGCTAAAAGTTGCTGTAGGGACAGATGGAGCAGTCGTTTTAGATATGGTAGACACAGATGTTGTAGCGACGAAGGAGCTTGAAGAAGAGGAAGAAGAGGTTGAAACAGATGAAGAATTGCCGATAGAGGTACATCCTCTGGAAGAGGCCAGAGTGGGATTAGTGCTAAAAGAATCAGTGACGACATTTGTATTGGTATTTGTAGCAGCAGAGAGGAAGGAAGATTCGAAAGTCGCGGAAATCGTATTAAAATGAAGATCTTTGCGTATAGGAATGAATGTTGAAACAGCGCTACTAACTGGAAGAGAGGTTGTAACAGAGCTACAAAGAGTTACAGATGAAGATGCTGAAATAGAAGGGGAAACAGAAAACGACACGGAAGGGGAAGTAGAGGCAGGGATAGTATTTGTAGATGAAAGATCTGTAGATTGACTATCTTCATTTCTATCTTGCCATAACTTCTTCATCCCGGTTTGAAACAAGTTTCTGGCTGATTTTCCAATTACACCACTGCTGCTAATAAAATCTGTCGCCAAGCCAGGAGTTGCAGCATAATCCCAGACGGTTGGACCTCCAGTGGTTGATGGGTGATAATACATTACCACCACATGATAGCCGTGGTTCTGATGAAGAGTCTGAGCCTACAAAAAAAGTCCAAAACCAATCAAAATTCCGAAACCAATCAAATTATACATTGATATTATAGAATATTCCGAAAACCAATCAAATTATACATTGATATTATAGAAAATTCCGAAAACCAATCAAATTATACATTGATATTATAGAAAATTCCGAAAACCAATCAAATTATACATTGATATTATAGAAAATTCCGAAACCAATCAAATTATAAATTGATATTTTAACATCTGCTCCAATGTAAGATACATTAAAGAACACATATCAACCCTTTCATCAGCAGCATTTTCTGTCTTGTCGTATCGAATATTGTGGTATTGAGACGGAAGAGGGCCTCTTTGAATGAGCTAGTCCTCTATAACATAGAAGTGCACCACCAATTAGGTAAAATTATTTAGGGTCTAGGTCAGTAGAGTCCTGAGAAGGACTGTTTTTGTTGTTGTTGACGGACGTTAAAATTATTTAATGTCACTTTGACTCTAAAGATGACTACCGCTAAGGTTGTCGAAACGTCAGTCAACAACAACAAAAACAGTCCTTCTCAGAACTCTACTAACCTGGACGATCTACATCTACAAACATGAAACTAATCACATCATTTACGTAACCTTTATGCAAGAAAACTGTGTATTTTAATCCCCAGTTTCAGCAACATGCATACAATTGAAAACACAATTTAAACACAATAAAGCAACAATTCAAAATGCAGTTTTAATACACAGTGTACGCTTCATAGACGTTTGATATATGATAAACTTTTGCTTGATGATAATGATGAGGGGCAGAATAGCACAAGAACACAATAAATGTGTGTCGCTGAGTTTTACCTAATAAACAGTAATTGCCTTTAATTTCTTAACTACAACAACTGGTCATTATTTTAATTTCCTTTAGTTTTAACATCATTTTTAAAAATCAGTTCTTTATTTAAAAAATTATATTCATGCATACTTGAATAATGAAAGCAATGGGTATACATAGGGTGTATAAAAAACTGCTTATTTTTAAAATCAGCTGACACTTAGAATTTGTATGATTCAGCAGTAGCTGACTCTCAAAACCTGAAAGTCAATACAATACATACATATATATTGATGCTACTGCAAATTGCAAATCCTTTTTTATACACACCTTAGATGAAAAGTCAATTGTGCATGAAATTGTTCAAACATCAAGGAAACTATCATATACTGTTTTACTTTGTTCTTTGTGAAATTAATATGCTGATTAATTTTCAAATGGAATGACTCACAGATGCATATTTTCCAAAATTGCAATCATCAGAGTTGTCTCTCGACAATGCAAATTGGTTGGAATGTGCACTATTCATAAGTTCAGTTGTGCCTGACCAGTTTCTTTTTACAGTAAAATGTTTAATTCTATAAATGAATTGCTTTCAAAAGAAACCACTTGGGCACAAGTGAATGTATGAATAAATCAGCACACAACCCATTAATGCCCAGAATGGCACTGATAGCCATCAAATCAAATGTTAGCAGAGGTAGCATAGCCTAACAAGTTTGCAAGTTTTATCTTGCAATGTAAATTTCAAACATTATCAATATCCATTTTTGAAATCTATTGTTTGCACAGTGGATATGCTCCATACACACAGCAAATTTACATAAAAATCACTGGTGTATTCACCCCATGTCTTAAGTCCACTTTTGTTGACTCTGTTCTCACTTACTGTTAAAATAATAGATCTCAACAGAAATGAAATAATGATGCTCTAAAATTATGGAGCAGGATCACAAATTACAAGCTGGGTATTCCACTTTTAGTCTCACTGCCAAATTAGGCATGTTGAAAGCATCAATGAAAGTTGGTGCACAAGATATTTATATTGCTGAGCTGTTTTAAGTTTCTGTATGTAAGCTCTAAGAAACCTTGGCCAACAATGAAGTAAAAAATTAATGCATGTTTTAATCCAGAAGAAACAATTATTTTAAGAACTTAGCATGGCAAAACAAACACTCAAATGAATACCAGCCCCAAACTATTGAGATTGCTATATCACTGTTGGGCACAATCATTATGACTCTAAGATGCCATAACACTTCTTGTATTTGTTTGCAATAAATATTTGATGAACCTACAAATTTTTGAAGATACATCAACAATATTTTAATTTGTTAACACAAATAATGTTAACAAATTAAAATATTAATATTACTAATTAACAAACTTTACAAATAAATGAGCATGTGATATTGAGAAAAACATACTGAGGAACAGCAAAGATAATCATGCCAAAGGTTTTAGTCCCACTATATAATTTTTACATTGACCATGAAAATACCCTTCTTTTTGATGGTAAACAGTTTACAGTTTAGCTTGCCAGATGGAAAATCTTGTACACACTTACATATGTAAATTGTTATAGTTTAACTTGTCAAAGAAAAAATATCTACAGTATCAGATTGACATGTATTTTGCAGGTGATCACAGCAACATGATAAGGGGAAGTATTTAAATTAACTTGAAAGAACTTTCTTTTTCAAAATATAACTCTTTTGGACAAACTTAAGTTACTTAGTATTTAAAACATTGTAATCTTGAAGCTTTTTTGTTTCTTACAATCCATATTCGTCCAAGGTTACCTTAACTTGTGGACTGTCCTGTCAGTCAGGTGTAGCTAACTAAGCTAAATCATATCACTCATATGTGCATGCTATTGTTAGTTTTGTATAGTAATTTCTATCTGTAAAATAGTGTACTAGAGTTGATGTTTGCTCATTAAGATGCATTGATGACCAAGAAGGGAATGGATAAGCACTCCTGTTTATCTTTTCAAAAAGCAAGCTAAGTTTAGGTCTCCTAAAAGGTAACATAGCCTTCAATACATAAATTAGCCACTGGATTGGCCTATGTATTTCAGTATTTGTAATTTTATGACTTACGTATAATGTGTAAAATTACTTACCACTACCATTGTTTTCTTTCATTTCAGCAATAACGCAACTTAATATTAACGTTTAAATTGATTTTTAAAAAAAAAATTCAATCAGAAGAGCATACACTTTACATTAAACCAGGGGTCTCCAAACTACGGCCCGTTGGGCCTCTCAATCCGGCCCGCAGAGGCACTTAAGAAAAAAATAATAATATTATTAAACAAAATAAACTTTGTGCAGAAAGTTCCCATTATGTCGCAAGCCAACTAGCAAGAGTGGCTTCCGTCAATTTTCTCCGAACTTCCTACTTCCGTCGAATATTGCGAAATTTAAAAGCTGAAGGATAACGTGGAAATTTTTATATTCTTCGGCCCTCAACATGCTGGATGAAAGTTCATGGCCCTCTGGTTGCAAAAGTTTGGAGACCCCTGTGCAAACGATTGAGGATATCCAAACTTCAAGGATAGTAGATTTCGGTAAATGATAGGTTGCGTGGTTGCGACCAGGCAGGCAAGTCACCAGGCCTGTTGTTTGAATTGACGTTTCAAATTGACTTATAGAGTCAATTTGAGGGTATTTTCACAATTAGCGTATAGAGTTAATTTAAAAGCCCGCCGCACACTGGTGAACTTGCCGTGCGTACTTGTTATTCGACAAGTGATCGACAAAAGTTCCTAGTGTGCGGAGAGCAAAGCAAGCGCGCTGTAAATGACAAAATGCGCACGCGCCAGATTGAGAAAACAAAATGGCAGACCAAACTCGGAACCTGTGGCGGACGTTATATTAGAGGTACAGCTTGTTGATATTTGGCCTAAATATCCATGTTTTACGATGTGAGATCGTCGGAATTTAAAATCGAGACGCAAGAGATAGGCTCTGCAAGAGATTGCAGAAAATCTTGGGCAAACAGGTTGTTATTTGTTAATAATAAATATCGATTTTATAAGTGTTTGTTATATAGTCATTCTCCAATCTTTTAGTTCTTTTTATTCAGTCCACGCTGTTGAGCAGAAATTTATTTGCTGGAAAATATAATTAATAGTCGCAATGGAACTTACGTCAATTTCTTACTTAGTTGATTGGGTCAGGCTAAAATAAAAGCATTGAGAAATGCTTACACACGAGTCAAAAACCTCCTCCAAGTGGTAGCGCTCGCAAAATCTTACGAAGCAAGGTAACTGGTTGCTGGATAAACTGAAGTTCCTCTCTTTCGTGGAAACAAAGTTCCCATTTCAAATATTGATACTGTAAGTGAAATTCTTGTTTTTTGATTTTCCAAACAATTAATATTTAGCATAACATATATATATATATATATATGTTATGCTACCATACGTCCTGTGTCCCAAGTGCAGGAGTCACCATTTTACTATGTTGATAGCCGGGAGGGCACATTGTTATACACTTTGTATATATATATATATAAGTTTGAAAATTTGTAATCCAGGCATTGAATATATAAAAGATAAACGTTTCTCCGGATTTTAAATGATTTTTATTGAGCTTTGACTTTGCTTCGAGCCTTCATCAGAATGAGGATATTTATTTACACGTGCTTTTAGCTTGGAGACGTTTAGAGCGTCTAATTGGATTAGTGGGTGGATTAATGTGATTGGATGGAGTGAAATGCTGCCATGGGTTTTGGTGTGTTGTTATGGTTGGTGTTAATAATATTACAGTGTAGTGTTTTAGTTTTGGTGTTGTTTGTAGTTTTTGTCCTTTTCTTTAGTTGTGAGTATATGATGGGTATGTCGATATGTCTGTTTATTGTGTCGTTGTCTTCACTGTACCAAGCTTCTTTAAATTCGCGTGCGTGTTTAGGCTGTGGTCCGAGTACTTTAGTTTCTGTCCAGTCGAATGTGGTTGTTTCCGTGGGTATGTTCTGCCGGTAGTGAGTTCGGATCTCGTCGTTTTATGGCGTTTTTGTGTTCTGTGAGTCTTGTTTCAATTTTCTTAGATGTTTGTCCTATGTATTGTTTTGAACAGTCTTTACATGGTATCATGTAGATCGTGTCAGTTGTATCATGAATTGTTGTTTTGTCTTTATGTTTGGTGAAACATGATTTGAGTTTTTGTGTAGGTTTGTGG